CAATCCCATTCTCCCTCCCTCCCCACCCACCCTCTCCCACCCCTCCCCTTTGGTAACTGCTAGTCCCTTCTTGGAGTCTGTGAGTCTGCTGCTATTTTGTTCCTTCATTTTGGCTTCATTGTTATACTCCACAATGAGGGAAATCACTTGGTACTTGTCTTTCTCTGCCTGGCTTATTTCACTGAGCATAATATGCTCCAGTCCCATCCATGTTGTTGCAAATGGCAGGATATGTTTGTTTCTTATCGCTGAATAGTACTCCATTGTGTATGTGTAACACCTCTCCTTTTCCATTCATCTGCTGATGGGCACTTAGGCAAAAGGGCCAGCTTTGACCATCCCAGAGATTAAAAAAGAGTTCTGTCAGCATGTGAATGTATTTAAACATTCACTAGTAATTTAAGTCACTGTTAGGCAGCTTGGTCACAATTTTTTAAATGTCAAAGTAAACTTGGGTCTATTTCACCATTGATTGTCTACCTGTGGGAGTGTTTAGTATTGGTTTAGTCATGTTTAGTATTGACAGGCTTGTTCACGAGCATTATAGCTCACAACTCTATCCCAATTATATAAATCAGGAAATTGAAGATCAGAGAGTTCAAATTACATACTGTAGGTTACATAGTGTCTCTGGCTGCTATAATAGAATACCATAGACTGGTTTATTTATTTATGAAACACCTTTCAGCATAAAATTCAATATTACCATATAAACCCTATTTTGAACATTTTTCCAAATGCTCATAATTATTGGACATTTTCCAATCATAAACTACTGGACAGTATGTAATGATGATTTTCTTCACTTTTGCTGACAAATTCTCCTAATAGATATTTATGTCAAAATTCTGCAAACACCCATTTACTGGAAGAAAAATTTGTTCAAAAATAAACCTCAGCTGTTTAATGAAGTCATGCTCTTCACCCAAAATAAAAATGGAACTTTTCCTGACAGAACTTTTTGTTGACAGCACAAGGTCAAAAGTTTTCTGTTCCTTGCTTAAATTAACCATTCATTTTTATACATCTAATGTCAAAAAATATAACAACACTCTCACTTTTAAGCACTTAGAAAAAATTTAACCACATCCATTAGAAATAGAAATCCCAGGGGTAACACTTAACAATTAAACAGGCTGCTTCAAAGACTAAATTGCATGTTCTATTTAATCTTTAAAATTTGTAAATATTAATACAACACCTGGACTCTTCTTAACAACTATCTCATTCTGCTTATCCAAAGTAAGATATTCTATAGTAGTTTTGTTTTTAATGAAGTATTTCTGATGCATAAAATAGTAGTCTAAAAATTTAATATGATCTCATATATGTAGAATCTTAAGGAAAAAATAATTAATGAATCTCTAAGTTTTTCACTCTGTATATTTTGTTTATTTCTCCCTAATTTAAATTTATTCTCAAAGAAGACATATGCTCTTTAAAAGATACTATCCTGAAAAAAAATCTACTATGTTTCCCAAATGCCATTAGAAGTAAAAATACTGTTTTGATATAAGTTCCATATGGGTCTGACCCATGGTGGCTATAACCCAGAATTCAAATACTGGATCCCAGGGACATATAGATCAATATTTCCATGACTATTAGATAAAATATTATTAAAAATATTTTGTAAGATAAAACCAGACTGTGAACAAATAATTTGGGAAAATTCTGGCCAAAACCAAGTAAAGCATTATGAAACATTTCAGCATCTAGAGAAAGAAAGAAATTAATAACAAGCATATATTCATTAATCAGATTTAACAAACGTTACCTTTTCAGAAATTAAAGTCAAGAGCTTTTTCTTTAGGACCTTCTTTTAGCCCCTGAAAGAGAGTGACATTAACCATTTACTGTGGACCTCATTTTTTTTTCTCTATTCTCTCAGCTTCTAAGATGCCACATTACCCATTGTGGTTTTCTCCTGATTCTCCACTCCTGGTTCTCTGCTCCCTCCATTGGTCCCTTGCATTAATCCAGAGAAACAGAACCAATAGGGGGTATGTAGATATGTATGCATATGAGATGTACACATATGGTGTTTTTTTTGTTTTGCTTGGTTATTTTACTACAAGGAATTGGCTCTCACAGTTACGGAGACGGAGAAGTCCAGGACCTGTAATGGGGAAGCTGGAGACGAGAGGGTGAGTCTGAGGGCCCGAGAACTGGGAGAGGCCTCGGTGTAAGTTCCAGGGCCGGGTGGGGTCAGAAGGCAGGAGGCCAGTGTCCCAGCTCAAAGGCAGGCAGATATCGAGAGAATTCTTTCTTACAAGCTTTTAATTCTGTGCAGGCCTTCAGGGATTAGATGATGCCCATCCCCTCTGGGAGGGCCACCTACTTTCCTTAGTCTACTGATTCAAAAGTTAATCTCATCCAGAAACATCTTCACAGATACACAGAGAAATAATGTTTAACCTAGTATCTGGGCACCCCATGGCTCATTCAAATTAACACACAAAATTGACCATAACAGTCTCCAATTGGCTCTCCTGCCTTTTCTCAAATCATGGGTATTCCCCACAACTCACCCTTTGGCACCAGTAAATTTTTAGAAATTCTCTCCCTCAAAGAGTTCATTCATCCCTAGGGTTTGTGTAATGTTTTGTTTATTAGAGCTACTTAAGTAAACTTTTTAATGCTGTACTTTGAATAAGTGAAACATGGTTGTATGGAGATAGAAAGAGGATTTATATATATTGTGCACTTCCTCTATTCTAAGCATTTCATTTTAATTCTTAGAAGGGTCCTCTTATATGTCCATTATTATCCTAGTTTAAAGATGGAAGGTCATAAATCCACACCATTTTCCAGTTCAAACTGGGTCAGGGTTGCTACATAAAACCCAGGGTGCCCAATTTAATTTGAGTTTTACATAAAACCAGTTTTTAGTATATGTGCTACATATTATATAGGATAAACTTATACTAAAAAAGAAAAGTCAACTTTAAATGAAATTCAGATTTAACTGGGCATCCTACATTTTTATTTGCTACTCTGGTCACCCTCACTTGGATTGGGGTTTTGCATTGCTTATGCTGGTCCGCCCTCTCCCTTATCCCTGCAGACAGACCCTTAGTGCCCGCCTGTCCTTATTCACCTGGCTGTCACCAAGGTCACCAAGGTCATCACATGTCCACAGCTTCCATACCCCATCACTGTGCTCTACCCACCTGCAAGACTCTTACCAGTAGCACTTTTTCCATGCTCACCACCTGGCCTTGTGGAGGCCATTTAGCCAACTCCTCCAAAGACCATTACCTACCACAAGCAGCTACAGGACAGTCTGTAGAATTTGCACCCCAGGATACAAACCACCCCACCTTCCACACAATACAAGATCTTGTGGGAAGGGAGAAAATGTGGACAGATAACTGATGAAAAAGCAAACCCAGAGAGGCGTGTCACAGCTCAAGGCAGCAGAATGAGCCACAGAAAAGGGAAATAGACAGGATTTGTATTCAACATTTTTTTCAACATGGATAATATTGTAAACATCATGTTTATCAAATCAATGAATTCCACAAGGCTGGACAACATAGCTAACTCACTGATGACTGGAATAAGAACCAAAATCAACAAGATGAAATTGAACAGGAGTTACAGGAACTGCTCTGTTTAGGTTGAGAACAGCAGTGACATAAGGTTGAGCAGCTGGCCAGCTGTTCAGATAAAGACCTCAGCATTTTGGTTCAACCCAAGTTCAAGGATGGGGATTATGGCATAGTGGGGAAAAAACAAGACTTAGATTTAGACAAACCCCATCTTCATTCCTGATTTCACCACTAAACTGTTGAGGCCCAAGTCTCTGTCTCCTTAATGTAAAATGGATATAACACCAAACACACTAAATCGTGAGGGTAGAGAAGGTAAACACACTGAGCTTGTCACAGCACTTGGAGGATAATCTACTGAAATGTTGAGTTTCATTTTGTTTTCTTTAGGAGGCCAGAAGGAATAAGAAGATAAGGTTTGTGTGCTAATATTTGTGTCCTCTCCAAAATGGCATTTATATGGCAAAGCCAAAAGCAAAGGTTACCAACCACCAGGAGCCAAGTAAGTCCCACAAAAATACGGAGCCTTCAGTATAGCACAGAGAAGACAAGTAATGACTCTATAGCATCTTACTAGGCTGATGGACAGTGACTGCAATGGGGTGTGTGTGGGGGACTCAATACTGGGGGGAATCTAGTAACCACAATGTTGCTCATATAATTGTATATTAAAGATACCAAAATTTAAAAAAAAAAAATTTTAAGAATACCCAGCCTTACAGGGGAACTGCTTCAATCAGTGAAAAGTGTTGCTGAGGGGTGAGAGGTTCCTGAGACTTAAGGAAAGAAGGGGGGCTTATCACAGACACCTTGTGCTACCTTCCCATGCAGAACCCCCCCCCCAAAGAAGTGATGCCCCCTAATGGGTTCTATCAGGAGACCACAGCACCTGACCACTAAGATGCCTGCCTTGAGGGCCATGGTAAAGATCCCTGTGCCCAGGATTGGTTCAGAAACTGTGGAGCCTCCTGCCTTCAAGGGACTGAGTCAACTTGGGCAGGAAGCACAGGTGAGGCCAGTGTGGGCTCAAGTCCAGAGCTTTTCTTGGCTTCTTGGGCTGTGAGAGACCTCGAAGATTCTTGCACAACCAAGGAGCTGGGCCAGGAGGGATTAAGATTGAATTTCATGACTGAAATTGAATTTACTGGCTGCCAATTGGGTGTGGACATGTGGCATATTGGCCTGATATACAGGAATAAATAAATATGATTTCTTCTTTTATCCAAATACTAGGGAGTATAACTTACTCTCTACAAACTTGTTCAATCAGATAGACTCAAACCAAATGCAACCATATCACTGTGATTTAACCACTTCTCCAAGCATCATTCCTTTCACTTACTAAAAAGAAAATATAACACCTAATTCACAAGGCTTTGGGGAGAATTACATGAGATAACTTGTAGTAAGAGTCCTAGCATAGCTCTTAGTGTGGTGGTGTTGCATTTCACACAACTTTGATCCTATGGATTTAAAATAGTGTAATAAAAATATAAGCCCCATTATATGGCAGAATTTTAAATGGTATGATTCCCACTTTATATTTATTCCCAAGTGGAAATGCACCTTGAATGGGTATTATTTGCTAAATCACTAATTGGGTGTGGAAAATAAAAAGAAGACTAGGATGACCACACAGTTCTAATTTGGGTGATAAGTGATGATGCTGTTTATGCAGAAAGGCCCGGGATGTGGAATGACAGCAGGGAGGTGATGTCTTTAAGTTGGACATTCTTGGTGGTAGGTGCTGTGGAACATTCAGGTGCAGTTACTCATCAGGCATTGCTGATAATGGCCTGGGTCTCAGGAGGGAAAGCTGGCTGGAGAATAGAGATTTGGGAGTCATGATTAAACATCATATAACCTAAAGTATGTATTAGACATCCCAGAGCCTGATGATGGAGTGAGAAAAACAGAGAACCAATGACTGGCCCTTATCAGCACCATCATGCAAGAAGTGAATGGGAGCACATTATCCCTAAAGGAATCTTAAAAGGAGTGATTAGAGAGATGGACAGAAATCCAAGAGGGAACGCTGTCCCTGAGTCTGGGTTCGGAAATAGATTTAATGATGAAGAAGTTACCATCCATGTCAGATCACAGGCCAATAAATTCAAAATTGTTATTAACTGTTGAAGGTCAATGCTGAGCCTAGCTAGCACAACTTCAGTGGAAACCTGGCAGTAACGATGGGCTGTAGGAGCGTCCACTTCAAGGGAGATGATGCTACTGGATCTACACTAATAGGATCACACTTGGACTATTTTTTTCTAATTCGAGGTACTATGGAGTGTAAAATCTTGATTAGAGGAGGAAGCCATTGCACAGGAGAAGCAGACAGGCATCAAAATGAGGTAGTGGAGGTAGAAGACACACTAGAAAATTCAGGAAAAGCCAAACAGGTAAGCCATTTCCAAACAGGGAAATGAGAAAGACAAAACAAAGGGGCAGAGGCAAAAATATAGAGTGATTTACATTCTTTTAACCACAAGAGTGACAGTAGCCAGGAACACAGTGTGGTCCAGACCCTGTGGGGTTGTGAGTCTCTGCACAGCACACTCTCCATTCACCATTGCTCTGGCAAAGGACTCCTTCAAGATGCAACAGCATTATGAGGAAATTCTCAATCTATGAAGGAAGCCATAACTGGTGCAAAGCCTTAAATGATCTGAGTATCTCTTTCTGGGATAGAGAGCTTTCTAGGAAGAAGGATTAACTTGAACCTGGGTGCTCACGACATAGCTGCTTCTCCCTGATTCTGATCCGATTCACTTTTGAGTAACAAATCACATGAGTGAATATTCACTGTCTTGTATAGTTTTCACTCACATTTCTACTGAAGGGAAACCTCAGGACCAGGATAAGGAGAGAGCTGAGCCTAAGGATATGTAGTGACCCAAACAACTATTACCTGGAGAGTGTCCCTCTGCCCTACGGAGGGCTGGCCCTACACAGAGTCATGGAGAAAACGCTGTCCAACCCACTCCATGAAGAACTTCCAAATAGAAAATTCTCAGAAGACAGCAACAAAGATAGTGTCAAAAGTAGGGATGGGAGAGTTGAGACTAGAAACTGTCAGAGAAAAACAAACAGTTAGACTGAATGGGGGGAAATTTGTAACCACAAAAGCACGAGAAAGTAAAAATTAAAGCTATTTTAAATAATTGACATTTTTTGTCTATTCCTTGTGGATGCAGCAGAAGGAACTAGGGACAAAAGGTACTGGGAAAGTTGCTTTATCTGTTTTGGTATGAGAAGCAACTTTGTAATTATCCAGTCCTTCCCAAAAGGGAACAGAATGGATCCCAAAGTCAACAGCCTCCCCAGCACAGAAAGTGTTAGACCGGAGGCTGAATAAACATTACTGTTAACAGAGATGCTTCATTCCCTTGGCCTCTTATTTCCATCTGGAAGCACTTCAGTAACACTCCAGGCCTCCCTCAACATCCCTTTTGTCTCCCCAGGAGAGGAAGGACATACCTGACTAGGGAGTTTGGGAGAAAGAACCAGGCCTGCTGCTCAGCTCCTGCTCATGTCATGACATGAATGCAAGATGCATGCATCCTGGCTGCTCTCAGCAGCCTGAGGAAGGTCTGCAGTTGCCCCGCTGTGCAGTGTCTGAGGGTGAGTCTGTCTAATTTAGGGGATAGATACTTGCAAGCCACCCGGTCAATGATCTTAAGCCATAGTTGCCTATCAGCTGTTTCAGATAATACTGTGATCTCCATCTGTCTACTACTCAATTTTTTCCAAACTCAGACAAGAAAGAGGGTGTTATTTTATTGCCCCCTAAAACCTCAAAGCTATCTGTGAAGAGTATTACCCTGGGAGAAAGGTTGGACCACATGACTCTACAACTATTCTAAATGTAGGATCCTGTGACTTTATGACTATTCAGATACTTATAGGACCTTCTAACATAATGTCTCATTGACATTTCAAATTCAATTAATCTAAAATTAAATTTCTCTTCCCCTCAAACCAGCTCACTCTCCCACCACTGCTGCCCATCAAAGGGAGACCTCGCTTCACATTCATTGAGATTAAAAGGTTAAAGTTCCCAAATGGTAGGGAAGCTAGAAACATCCCTATTATGGTTGTAAATCAATACCAACATCATCAAGTAGTGGTTGAAAGCCTGACTATAATTGCCAAGATCTCGTGTGACTGTAAAGAAAAGAGAGTGGGTCAAAGTCAACATGCAGAAGTGCTCTCAGATTGCTGGGGGTGGGAGGGGGGTGAGGGTAGAAGGAAAAACCTATCATGAGGACAAAGAAAGAATTCCCAGAAAAAATAACTAGGAAATGTAATGCCTTAGAAACCCAAAAGAACATTTCAAAAACATTACAATCAAATTCTACTGAAGGAAATACTACAAAGAAGATGAGAAATGAACATAGACTATCAGGAGATGATTAAGAAATTCCTGGAAATGAGACCAAGTTTATAGTGGTGAGGTTGAAAGGGAAAATATTATTTCCCACTCATTCATTCAACCAACACCTATTTAGCATCTCATGGTTGTGAATTCAAAGCATATGAGACACTGTCCCTGTCCTTAAGATACTTACAGTCCAACAGGAAAACAGAAGACATAATCATAACAGTAAGATGTGCCTCAGGGCACTGGGAACACATGTAAAGGGTAACTAACAAAGAGTAAGAGAAGAGAGAAAAGATCAAGGGTAGCCTTTCTAGAAAAGATGACATGTGAGCTGTCCCTAAGCAGGAGTGAGGCAGTCACAGAAGAGAAGGGGACCCTCTCCAGAGAGGGCTTGATGGCTGGAGAGAAAGCCTTGCACTTGGCTGATAGAGGGGAGGGCCACGGATTCCTTCCTTCAGGGGATGGTGGGGAGTGAGGCTGGTAGGTAGTGAGGCGCCAGGACATGAAGCTTTGTGGGACGTGTTAAAGCCAATGGGGAGTCAAGGAGAGAGTTTAAGCAGCTAAGTGACATGAATAAATGTGATTTTAGAAAGCTGTGGCAGGCAAATGAAAAATAAGTTGGGAGGTCAAGGTCAAGAGCAGATGCTGGTAATGAAGTATGTGGTGGGGACTTGATAATGGAGAGAATCTAGTAACCACAGTGTTGCTCATGTGATTGTATATTAACGAAACCAAAATTAAAAAAAAAAGAGTAGATGCTGGAAGAACCAAGTTAAGTAGCTTTGATAATAATGTCATTGATTGGTAGTGAGTGCCAGAGAGAATGGAGAGGAGACAGTAAAGATTACACCTGAAAAAGGGAAAGAAAATGCATTTGGGTGGGGAGGGTGTGGTTCAAGGAAAGAAGTCAAAAATAATTCCCAAATTCTAGCTTTGTCATTTCAGTCAATGATGATGCCTTTCATTTAGAAACTGGCTATGAGAGAGAGAGGGTTGGAGGAAGGAAAATGATTTTTGAAATGATGAATTAGCTTGTGCCTTTGGGACACCCAGACAGAGACTGTTGAAAAGCAGTTTCTGAGTGACTCAGTGCACAGGTGGGAGGTAGAGTCAAAAAGTTGAACAGTATGTATAAGGAAAAAAGTAGAAAGCTGTCCTCTTTCCTAATATTAACTCAAGGGAGAAGGAGGGTTGAGATATGTTTTATAGGAAAGGAGTGAGTTTAACACATTTCTGGACATGAGGGAATAAATCAATAGAAAGAAAGAAATCGAAGGTCATGGGGCCAGGGAAAGCTCGAGGAGGTAGGAGAGGTGGTAGTACTCTCCTATTTAGTTTTACCTTGTAGTGCAATAAAGTTGCCTTCTGAACATAACACACAGACTCTTGAGTTAACGGGTGAGCTGCTTCAGTGCAGATCATCAGCCATCTAAAACAGATGGTAAACTGCTAAAAGGAATTAGGCTCCACCAACCATTTCAGTGGAACATTGTATGGTATGGAAAGCAAAACACTTGGCAAGACAGGAGGCATGAGTCAGAATTGAAAGTCTGGCTCTGCTCCTGACTTCATTACTCCTGGGCTTCCCACCTGCTAGTCCCGGGGGCTCAAGGATATCCTACCAGCCTTCTCACTTCCCTCTTCACTGCCTGTCCTGCTGGTCCCAGGTTTGTTAAAGCTTTGGTTCTCACATGGGTCCTTTCCTTTCATTCCCACTGATGTAGTCCTAGTGCTCACGCTTAAAGCCCCTTCTGCCTTCAGGCTTCACCCAACCCCACAACACCCAGGGAAGGGGGAAGGGGAAGGAAGAGGGGCGAAGGGGAAAGAGGACAGCTTTCTAAGTGGGCCGTCTTGTCGCTGCCCACTGCCTTAAGTCTAACTCCTGAGTGAACACGCAAGGCCTCAGCAATAGGATTCTGTCCTAACATTCTGATTTTGTATCTTGCTACTCCCCATATAAATTCTCCATCACAGTCAAACCTTACTTACCCACCCCTGAAATATTTCTCCCGTTTTTCTGGCGTTATTTTTCTTTTAATTCTTTCAACAAATATCCCACAGAGAGAAGCCTTCCCTGATAGGGCTGTCCCAGCTGTATATCCCAGTCACCCTTTTTTTTTAAAACTGAAGTATAACTGACTTACAACTTTATATTAGTTTCAGGTTTACAACTTAGTGATTCAATTTTTGTATATATTTTAGTAAGTCTAATTAGCATGCATCACCACATATAGTTACAAATTTTTTTCTTGTGATGAAAACTTTTAAGATCCACTCTTTTAGCAACGTGCAAATATATGATACAGTATTGTTAACTATAGTCACCATGCTGTGCATTACATCCCCAGGACTTATTTATTTTATAACTGGAAGTTTGTACCTCTTGACCCCCTTCACCGACCCTGCTCACCCCATGTCGCCTCTCCTTCAGAGACCACAAAACTGTTTCCTGTGTCTAGGAGTTTAAGGATTTTGTTTTCTTCCCTTCTCTCTCTTTTTCTTTTTTAGATTCCACATATAAGTGAGACCATATGGCATTTGTCTTTCTCTGATTATTTCACTTAATACAATGCCTTCAAGGTCCATCTATGTTGCCACAAATGGCAACACTGCTCTCTTTTTTATGGCTGAATAGTATAGTCTGTTGTATATTTATATGCCACATTTTCTTTATCCATTCATCTGTTGATGGACACGTAAGCTGTTTCCATATTTTGGCTATTATAAATAATGCATAAATGAACAGAGGGGTGTTCAAGTTAGTATTTTAATTTCCTTTGGATAAATACCCAGAAGTGAAATTGCTGAATCGTATGGTGATTCTGTTTTTAATTTTTTAAGGAACCTCCACACTGTTTTCCATAGTAGCTACACCAATTTACATTCCCACTAACAGGGTGTGGAGGTTCCCTTTTCTCTACATCCTTGCCAACACTGATTCTTATCTTTTTGATACTAGCCATTCTGACAGGTGTGAGGCGATATCTCATTGTAGTTTTGATGTGCATTTCCCTGATGATTAGTAATGTTGAGCATCTTTTCATGTGGTTGTTGGCCATCTGTATGTCTTCTTTGGAAAAATGTCTATTCCCATCCTCACTCCACTTTTTAAATCATATTGGATTTTGTTTTATAGTTTTTGTTTTTGTTTTTGCTATTGAGTTGTATGAGTTCTTTATATATTTTAGATATTAATCCCTTATCAGATATATGATTTGCAAATATTTTCTTCCATTCTGTAGGTTGCCTTTTCATTTTGTTGATGGTTTTCTTTCTGTACAGGAGCTTTTTAGTTTGATGTAACCCCACTTGTTTATTTTTGCTTTTGTTACCTTTGCTTTTAGTGTTCCTTCTAGTAAAGGTGTTCATCCTTTACCGTGATTGATTTTCTTCATAGCATTTAATTCTGTATGGTATGTTTTTTTGTGTATTTGTTCACTCGTTTACTATCTGATTCTTCACACTAAACTATAAGCCCTGTAAGAACAAGGTATTTGTCCAATGCACTGTTATTTCCCTAAAACCTAAAACAGAGACCTTATACATTGTAGGCATCCAACATTATTGTTTAATAAATGAAATAAAATCTTGACTGAGTGCCTGCTTGTGCCAATCTTAGTGCTAAGGGTAAAGCAGTAATCAAAACAGATGTAATCCCTGAACCCTAAAAGCACATAATTCAGTGGGAGAGATAAAGAACACTGTTAAAAATTAATAGCTATTTACATGAGGAAATGCTTGCTATGAAGGAAAAGAACATGGTCTAACGGCAGAGATTGACTTTTAGATTGCGTGGTCACGAGGGGTCTCTTTAGTGGGTGACATTTAAGCTGAGACACAAAGAAAGAGAAAGAACTAGTCAAACTAACAACAGAGTGGAGAAGAGTTAAGGGCAGGGACGTGAACACAGGTACAGCCCTCTCCACAGTCTTCTGCATTCATGCCTGACATTTTCCTCTGCCAGAATGATTGTTTCCATGGAGGATTTCTGGATGTTTAAGCTAGAAATGATCCTAGAAGTCCTCTAGCCCACCCTCTCACTTCATAGAAGAAACTACAAGTACACATGCTTTAGTAGGGATTTTCAAAGTCATCTTTAAACTGAGGTTGAGAGAACTTAGATGTCCTGTGGGAGGTTAGCCAGCTGACAGAGCTCTCAGGACTAAGTTTAAACCCAGTCTTCATGACTTCTATTCAAGGTTTCCCTATCATTCAGCCATCTAAATTCAACTTGTTGAGT